CTCAGGGGGGGGGCTGGAAAAGCAGCAGCAGCAGCAATCCGCATTGGGTTGTGGGGGGGCTTTGAACGGGGGGCGGATCGAGGTGGGCGCAGCCTGTGCTGCTGGTGCTGGTGCTAGTGCCGCGGGGGTGGCGGTGGTGCGGATGTCGCTGGCAGCCGGGGAAGGCTCCACAGGGGGGGGAGGAGGGGGGAGTGAATCTCCGGCCTCCGAGGAGGCGGTTTGCTGTTGCTGTTGTTGTTGTTGTTGTTGTTGTTGTTGTTGTTGTTGTTGAACTAGCAGCTCTTGTAGCTTCCTGTGAGCCGTAATGTCATTGAAAACCACGAGGAATCGCCGTGGGGAATAATAATAATAATGGCGAAGTCGATGATGATGATGATCATCATCATGATGATGGTGATGATGATGTTGATTCCGCACAGGCGCCTGCTGCGTCTGCGCGGGGGCCTCAGCCAGAGTCTGAGTCTGAGTCTGCTGCTGCTGCTGCTGTTCATCGCGAAAACTAGTCGGCTGGGATTGTCTTCCTCGCCCTTCTCGTCCCGGATGTTCTCTGTCCTGAGGGGTTTCCGATCTCTGAGGGGTGTCCTGTTGCCCCCGGCTGTGGCCATGATGGCCCAGTCCGTTGTGCTGCTGTTCTGGTCGTTGCTGCTGCTGCTGCTGCTCCTGTTGTTGCAGATGTTGCAGATGTTGTTGGCCCAGCCGAATGCCTTGAGGATGGTTTTTGGGTTGCGGCCACTGTTGTTGTATTTGTGATGACACAGGTGGTTGTAACTCTTGCAGTTGTTGATGTAACCGTCGTCGTTGCGGTTGCAACGGATGACTAACCACTTCCCGACGGAACTTTTGTGGGTCATCTGACGGTTGCCGCCCAACTGCTCCAACTGTCCCAACTGCCCGGACGTCGCATTCGCAGCTGTGACTCTTTGCGATGCGGCCGCCTGCGCCTCTCGGACATCTCGCCGGTTCACTGCGAAGACCCTGGCCCTCCCGCCCTCCGCCGCTGCTGCTGCTGCCGCTACTGCTACTGCTGCTACTGTAGCCACCGTCGCCGCCACAGCCCCCTCCGAGCCCATTACGTCCTAAGAAAGGGCCAGGGGATCCATGCCGCCGCCGCCAGCCACAACCCACCGCCGCCGTCGGCACCGCCAGCCTACCGCCGTACATACTTGCCGTACACACGTCGCCTTCGGCGATTTCAGTCGCTTCCTCGTCACGACAGTCCCCGTTTTCCGGTGATACCGCCAAACTGCACCAGAGCAGCCGACCTGAGCTGTGGAAGCAAGGCAGCTCGAGGCGAGATGGGGTTCCAGAGGCCAGCGCCGCCGCCAGGAGCTGTAGCCCCTGACAGGGCCCCGGGGCCGCTGCCTCGGCCGGGCTACAGCCGCCACCGCTGCCGCCACCGCTGGCTGTGGCTCCAGCCGGCGGCCGCAGTAGCATCTCGAGCCCGCCACAGCGCAGCTGCTGACGGCTGTAGCCGCACAGCTCCGATAGCGCGTCGTTGCTGTAAAGTATGCCGGCTTGAAGAAGGCATGGAACATTACAGGCGTCGGCCCCATCAGTGCTGGTGGAAGCCGCCGCTGCCGCCACCGCTGCCGCCGCAGCAGTACTGGTTGTAGTGGCCGCCGTCGTCGCGGCCGCTACGTCAGCGATGTCGACGGGCGCAGAGCCGCCGGCAGGCAGTACGGCATATGCGGACCAGGTGTACGGCCCTGGTGGCTCTAAGCCGCTGCTGCTGCCGCTGCTGCTGCGGCTGGCAGCTCCCCCAGGGGTCCCTTGACAATCACTGCTGCCGCTACTGCAGCCGCCGCCGCCGCCGCCGTAGCCCCAGCCCGATCCTGCTACTGCCGAGGCGCCGGCTGAGGCGGGCACACCAATGACGCAGAGCGGTTGGGGGCTGTAGCGAAGGAACCCCGGGACTGTCAGGGAAACGTCGCAGTGGTCGCCCGAACTTTCCACGTCGTCATCGGTACGACAATCCCCTGCTGAAGGCGCGATGCACTCCCAGCTGCCCGCGGCCTGCGGCAAAGGCGATACAGTAACGCAGAGCGGAGAGCAGCCAGGGGAGGGAATCAGGGGGTCGTGTGTGGAGGTAAGCAAGGGATGAGGGTAGGCTAGTAAGGTGCGTGAGAGAATGAGTGCGTGAGAGGGGTTTGACCGGGGTGTGGGGTCAAGGCGTAAGGAGTCTAGGCTACGGCTGGGATGGCAGCTATAGTAGTTGTGCGCACTGGTGCTGGGATAGTGCTGCTCATCTGGTTTGGCGGCTCGTCCTGAAAAGTGGCATCGCGCAACCAGCAGCGCTAGAATCTTGTGGGATTGGCTGTCATTGCTGCTGTTGCCGCAAACTTAGGTTCTAAAACAATTGCTTTAAGTAAAGGACGATTGGTGATTGGGGAGAGGAGAACGCGCCCGGAGAACCTAGGATGGAAAGCGGCTCTAAAAGCACGAAATGTGCGAGATGAGTGGGAATGGTACTGTGTGCCGACGCCCGACCCAGCACGTCACAAGCTTTACGGTTCTATCTTACGGTCCTAAGCAAAGGACTGCACAAGCAGGTGGTCACGAGTGGGCCACGGCAGGCGCGTGTGCTGTTGGGCACATGAGTCCGCATGAGGACGCACGAAAGCCACTAAGGCATATAGAAGCAGACGAAGGAACGACCTTCTTTGGCTTACCATGCCATCAGGTGTGCAAACCATATTGTCAGGCGCGTCAGTCCGTTAGCAACAGGCGTTAGGCTGCTTAAATGCGCCTGCACGCTCGTCGCGCGCTGCTTTGTCCGCTGCTTATCGCTGATCCCGTATGATGTTCCAGTTATTGTCTGGTACCTGTTCGTATCAGCGTTGAGGTGCCATGAACTTGGCAGGGGTGGAAGGTGACCCGATGGCCCGCGCGATTGTCCAACGGTTAGGCCGTCCGACAGAGAAGTCGCGGCCGAGGGATTCCAGCTCTTTGAAACCAAACCTTTCGGCTTGAAGGGTAGATTTTGTGCTTAAGCAACCACTTTTTGGAGGAATGTTGCTCCTTGTCACCAATGCCAGCGAAGCTGTCCAACCTGGCGTGCCTTCCGGCTCCGACGCCCCTTGCCACCTTAGGCAGAAAAGCTAAGGCTATGCAAAAAAATGCAATGCTGCAAGTGCAAATCTTGTCCGTTTTCTGTAGTGACAACAGCGAGCGTCGTTTGCGACGGACGGTCCCGGCTGTAAGCTGTTGGACTCAAGATGGATCAACTGGCTTGCATTATATGTTTAACGTTCTGCAAGAAGATATATTTGGCATGCCGAATTCAGGCATAGGCTCATCATAGTAATGAACAGGGCGACGCCATTTTGTATTGCCTTCCTCTTTCCAGTAGCAGCAATACTCGCTTCCCCTAGCAGCAAAAAATAAAGTATAGAAATAGAGCATAATCGTTATCGAGTCCCCAATTTCTCCGTTTCAGTTACCCGACAAATCTACTAACAAGATTGCGATCCGGCATGTGTCATGCGCACCTCCCAATCACACAATCAATCTTCGAACTTAGGAAATGAGGGTTCGAGTACATAGCACAGTAAACACTCGGAACATAAAGCAGATTAGCAGTGTGACCCGGGAGAAAGATTCGCAAGGTCGTGCAAGGGAACTGACCACGATCAATTTATCGAACTACGGCACCTTTCCAGAGAACTGCCTTTTGTAGTCCCAAAACGCACCTTGCTGGGCGAGGACAACAAAACAAAAGGATACGATGCTCTGAAGTACATGCAAAGCCACAGAGGACAAGTACATGGAAAGTGAGTTTCTTTCCTGGAAATCTGTGAATGAACAAAGCCTACCAGTGGCGCATGGATTTTGTATACAGTGACCGTGGTGCGACGCGGTGGCCCTCACACTCTTGCTGGTAGTGAGCTTCTTACTACAATAAAAAGCTAACATCCCTGGATGTAAAAAGCTTTTCAATACCGAAAGCTGTTAGCCAGCCTATACTGTTCTACCTCTCCCTCGGCCATAAGCACCCCCGAGAGATCAGAGCTGCTGGGGCTGGCTAGCCGCCTGGCTGGCAAGCTTGAGCACGAGGCGGAGGGGGAGGGGTACGACAGCAGCTCTCCAGCTGCGCACGAAGGCTCTATTAGGTTACGCGAGCACAGCCCGAACCGAACAGCCCTGTTCATTTGGCCTCCAGACAGCGGAGTTGATAAGCCGGCTGCTGTGCTCCCGGGAGGGGACACATACACACACATACACACCTCGCCGGCTCCGAAGTCCGGGTTACACACGGCCAACTTGCCCCCAGGCCTCAGCCAGACCCCCCAGGCCTGGGCAGCAGGTGTGTGTTTGCTGGGGAGCCTCCCCGGGCCCCCCACCCAAGAACGCCTTTCGGTCAGTTCTACTCCTTGTACACTCTTTCCTTGGCAACAGCTTCACTCGTTCACGTGGTTCGTCTTTCCCCCCCACCCGTCTTAAGCACACACTTGTACACGAAGACATACATAATGATCTGGTGAGGTGCTGCCCCACCAGCGAGCCTTAGCCCCGTCAGACAAGCTCCCGCCTTGACACCTTGGCCCGCCCCGCCTGCCTGACGCGTACCGGGACGGGCCACCCCTCCAGGGGGCTGAAACACCCCCCCCTGGTGCGGCCGCGGGCTGGCTGGCTGATCGGGGCCTGACACAGCTTTGCATGGTGGTTTGGGTTTTGCCAGGTAGTTCGTTGAGGAGGAGGGGCCTTAGTGATGGGCAGTTTTTGTTGTAGGGTTCAGCTTTCGGGCTTAATAAGAGGCCGGTAGGGCGGCCCCTCATCACGGGGGGTGTTGCAAGGACCCACCCGGGGTGGGCAGCAAGCCGCGCACCTGCTGCTGCTCAAGGTGGTGCAAAGGCTGCATGGACGGAAACGTGCCGCAGCAGCGCGTGCTGAGGTTGGTTGTTTGAGGGCCTTGGTAGCCACCGCGCTCCCCTTTTTGACAAAAGGGGGAAACGCGGGGGGGGGGGGGTTGCACGCCCTCGGTCGAGCAGGAGGGGATAGCGGCCCCTCGCGTCCCTCTGCACCCCCCTCACACACACACACAAGGAGGGGAGTGCTTCGGCAGTCGCTCATTCTCCTTGGGGTATACGGTTAGGTGCCCCTGGCCTGTGTCAGGCCCGTCTCAATATGTAACAAAAAAAATATATGCATACATACATACCCCTCTTCCCCCAGCCAGCGGCCTTCCTCACCACCCGACCCGACCTCACACACGGCGTCAATACGATGGGGTAACTGCTCTCAACCACCTCAACCCCCTCCACCCCGAAGTAATCGTAATTCACGCAAGGCCCCCGCCCGACCCATGTCCGACACCCAGCGAAGCATCATACATAAACGCCGTACAAGAGCTCCTATGTAGGCTAACCTAACGATTGCCTAATTAAGAACCCCCAGGTGAGCGCAGGCCTTCAGGCCTCCCGCGCTCCGGCGCCGCCGCCGCCGCCGCCACCGTCGGTGCACCTGCCACTGCCGGGTGGTGATGTGGCCATGGTGACGTGGGCGCCGCCGGAAATGACCCGTGGGGCCAATTCAGCGGCCGGCAGACATGAATTGCAGTCCTGCTGCCGCTTCCGGCGGCACCGAGGCCAAGGCTCGCTGTACGGCCGCAGTACGCCCGGCCTCGGCCTCCGCCGCCGGCCCTTCCGGTGACTCCAAGTGCACCGCCACTACATTGTCCCCCTTGATGAAGACCTGGCCCAACTGGCGGTGCCGTACCTCCCGCCGCCGTACTACCCGTGTGCGCAACACCTCAACCATCCCTGGCGGTGCTTCCTTCGCAACCGAGGAGCTGCCGTCGCCGCCGCAGCCGCTGCCGCCGCCGCTAGGTCCCACAGCGGCGGCGGCGCGGTCGCTAGTTCCACTATCTTTACCACCCGATGACGACGACGATGCCGTCGCTGCCCCCTTCACCGCCGCCGCCGCCGCCGCCGCCGCCGGCGCCTCCGCTGCCACGAGCCTAATGCACTCTTTTACGTATCGTACTGGTACCGTATAGCACTCGTTGACGTCGCGAAGTACGAGGTTCATAAACCTGTCGTACGCCGTCAGCACGCCAGTTGCGCGGCCGCGGGCGCCGGTACCATGCCGTGTAGTAACGCTCACACGCGCTGCCGCTGCATGCCACCGCCTCAGCGTATCCAACGGCCCGGGCGAGGCCTCCGCCGCCGCTGCCATCACGCGCTCCAGGGAATGGGTCGTGCCTGTACGGATACGCTCCCTAAGTCGTACAGCTGACTCCTTGAACCGCAGGTGCTTCTTCCGAGCTTCCTGGGGTGGTGGTGATGGGGGGGTAAAGGTATGATGATGAGGACTGTGAAGGCCTGAGAACTACGGCAGTACGACAAGGTACGGCAAGGCCTATGGGACTAGGAAAGCCGAGTGGGACGAGACGCATAATGCAAAAAGCAAAGGATGATAAGCGGATATGTTCAAGAATAGGAGATTTCGAAGACCAATTCTGAAGCAGTAACTGTCGATGAGGGAAAGGGAAGGGGCAGTGGTTACCCACCTCACTAGCCTTTCGCTGCTCCAACGGAATGGCCCCCGGCAGGTCCGGCGGCAGGAGCTTGCGGCACTGAGACACGTTGTCCAGGGGCCGTACATTGGGTAGGGGCGGGTGCAGGTCGGGGGTGTGGAGGGCGCGCAGGGGGTCGAAGGTGGGGCTGAGGAAGTCCAGGGAGGGAGAGGGGGGCGAGGAGGAGAGGGCTGGGACTGCTGCGGGGTGCGCTGTGGAGCTAGGCAGCGGCGGCGGGGGTGGGAATGGAGGAGGGGACGACTCTCGCTCGCGATCCTGATCCTTCGTTTTCTTTGCAGAGATGGTGTTAATAATAGTGATGGAGAGGTTCGGGTGCGGGTTCGGGTTGTGGGAGGTGCCAGGGGCAGCGGCGTCAACATGGTTGCGGGGCGGTGAAGATGGCGTTGCGGAAACGCGCGGCGGTGGCGGCAGTGGTGGCGGTGGCGGTAAGGGTGTTGGTTGTGCACCCGTGGGGTGATGTTGGGAAGCTGCGAGAGGTTCGGTGTCCATGTCTGCGGGATTGCAGACGGGGGCATGCGAGCATTGCTTGTGTGCGCGCCAGCCAAGTTATGGGCTTATCCAACAGCAAGGTATCGTAAATTATAGAACCTCATAGATAAGCATAGCTGCGGTCAGTATGTCAATATTGTACATCATGTCAGGTATGCCTTCCAGTGCTGCGGATTTTCCAATCGTCCAGGTAATTTGTTGGTTAAATTTAGCCAGTATCGAGCTTGGCAAGAACAACCTCAATTTTCATTACGGGTGCATGGATTGCAGGCCATTCTCAAGGATGGATTAAGTGCCCAAACCGCGCGACCTTCGGTGGGTTTCGGAGCTGCGGTGTTGTCGGAACAAGGTCCAGGACACCTGAATCGGCAGACAATGCTGATAGTCGCTCTTCTCAACTTGATTTCCGTGTTTTTGCCTGTATCTTACCGATTGAGTAACAACGGTTATTTAGCAACACACTGAAACCCTTTCGGAAGAGATGCTGACCTCGGCGCTGAACCAGCAAAGTGTTAAGCCATATTTTTCTACTGGGCTTAATGTACGCCCACATTTTCTACGTATCTCGCACAACGTTTCAAACTTTCGACGGTCGATGGTGACTGTCGTAGCAGCGCAGGAAAAGGCCGTGTCTCTGCCATACACAACGAAGCCCGGTGCCGAGGTAAATAATTAGGCACATAATGAGGTGATGCGGACCATTTTAACTTAGCGGCAGTCCGTTTGTCGCGTGCATATAGAGAATTATATGGTGTCGATAACCGCAGCGCGCCCCAAGCTACGCCTAGATGGAAAAATGCCTCAATGTCTCTCTGTCTTACTTACTCCGACTTACCCAGCTCGTGTGTCGGGAAATCGCCACCCTTGGCTGCGCCTGAGGCCGTCGCTTGGCAACCCCTCCTAAACGCAAGCCGCACTTTGCTATGACCTATCCGCCGTACATGAACATGGTCAAGTTATAACCCATATCGCGTGAACTATGAACACAACCCAACTTCTAAGAATTCAACAAGCAATCTAGACAAAGACTCTCTTCCCTGTAAACCCCTCTTTCCCTCTCCCCGCCCTTTCCTCCATCTTCGTCATAACCCATCTCCCCTCCTTTCACCCCCGTCCCTCCCCTCTCCCCCGGCAGTCTCGGCTGAGAGAATGCCTCACAGCCCTGGTGGATGTGGACAATGAGAGCCACCCGCTGTACACCGTACTGACCGTACAGGTACGGGAAGCGGTGGGAGACGGGCGGATTAAAGCGAATTTTTTGATGCATATTGCAGCAAAACCTTAGCTACCCACGACACAAATATGTATGTATGTATATGTGTGGGATGGAAGAAGATGGGCGAAAAAAACCGCCGACTCGGACCAACGAATATCGGTACGGAAAGAAAAACGGCCACAACAGTCACAACGGAATTCCTCTGGTTCTGGTCTGGAGCATAGCGTTGCTCCATATGCCAGTGCCAGGACCGCTAGTAAAACCTGGAGGTGGCAGCGGGCAACGGCTAAAAAACCCTAAAACCCTAAAACCCTAAAACGTTCTTCGGCCTTCTTGACCCCTCCTCCTCCCCCTGCCCCACTGGAGGCTCTTCCTGGCTTCGAAGCCCGAGTGGCAGTTGTTCGGTTGATTCCCCAGTGCGTGTGTGTATAATACGTGTGAATTTGTGTGTATTCAATCCCCGGGCCCCCGGCATTTCCCCCCCCCCTTGGCGTTTCCCCCGCTTCCCCCTCCCCCTTCCATAGGGCCCTGACACACCAGGGTTGCTGAGAGTGCTGTCCTGGGTGCTGAACGGTGCGTGGGGACTGGCTGGCGGCTAGGGGGCNCCTGAGGGCGGGAGGGGGGGGGAGGGAGGGGAAAAGAAGCATGACAGATTGGCGGAAGGAGGACAGATTGGAGAGTTGCATCGGAACCGGGTAGGGGCTCCTGCTCCGGCCCGGCCCGGCCCGCCCCATGAGGTGAAAATAGCGAAATGTGGAGGGGGGGAGTCTGCCTATATGCATGTGTGTATGTGTGTATGTGTGTGTGTTCCTCAGGACAATCCCCTTCCATCTGACTTAGGTTCCACACAAGCCCCTCAGGAACCCCCCCGCCCGCGATGCATATCCCCCACTCACCGTCTGTTGCCGCAACATCACCCCAAACACATGTGCTCAACATACGACGCCGTACATTTTACCGTATATTTGCCGTACAGGTATGAGTGTACGGGTACAGCACGGCCTGCTGGAGACCACCCCGGAGGGTAATGTTCGTGACAGTCTCTGGGTAACGGACTTCCGGGGCAAGAAGGTGTGGGGGTGGGGGGTGGGCAGGGAGGGGGGGAGGGAGAGAAGGGGGGGGAGGGAAGGAGAGGGGGAGAGGAGGGAGTGGGGGAGGGGGGAAAGAGAGGGAAAAAGGGGGGGAGGAGGGAGGACAGAAGGCCAGCGGTCCGGGCGGGCGGGTGGGAAGGAGGCAAAAGGGCATTTGTGAAGTTAGAGCATCTCGGGGGTTAAAGCCGCCTAACCGCTGCCCTCCCTCTCCCCCCCTGGAGCAGCTCAAGGACGCATCCGCGGAGTCCCTGAGGTCCCGACTGGAGGACTTCCTGATCGTCTGCGGTACAGAGGTGGCGGTGACGACCCATGTGCGTGCGTGCGTGCGTGTGCGTGCGTGTGTGTGTGTTTTGGGAGGTGGGAAAGGGGGTAAGGGAAAGGTTGCATACGTGCATGAAACCCGAAATCCGATTAGAGGCGTCTTCTTACATACCCCGTAGGGCTGGGTTGGGTTTTCCTCCCCCCACCTTTACCCCCCCTCTACAACTTAATATCCCCGCCACCTCCCCACCCTTTCGCTTCCTGGCCCCCCTTCCCCCTTCCCCCTCCCCCCTTCCCCCCCACCCCGTTTAGGAGTGGAGGTGTGGCGCCATTGAGGTGTCCAACAACGCGCATCCGGAGCTGACCCAGGTGGATGTGGAAGGGAGGATGAGGGGTTGGGGCTGGGGCTGGGGAGGGGAATGGCGGGGGGAGGTCGAGGCGTTGTGTGGAAAGATTCCGAATTGGGTGATGATGATGAGGTCCCGGAGGAGGGTTCTGGGTTTTAGGGTTTCCGATGGTGGCCGAAATGGATTCAGCTGGAATGGGTTTTAGAGGTTTTAGAGGTTTTAGGGTTTTATTCGGTGTGAGTTGTAGCGGTTCGCAGAGGCAGCTCGAAGGGAGGTCCAAAGGTGGTTGCACGCACTTATCCTTCCCTCCATCCACGGTCGTCCTCGTGCGCATGGCTTTAAATAGATACGAGGAAGCAGTAGCATGCTGCTATGAAGCTATAAAGCTGCACCTTCGCCGCCGCTTCTCGTCTCTCCCCTCTTTTCATCTCTCTCTCTCTCTCTCTCTCTCTCTCTCTTCTTCAAACTCTCCCCAACGACCCAGATTCCTCACCCAGCCATCCGTTTTCCCTCCTTCCATGGGTTTTACCATATGCCGTACGGTGCCGTACGCAGGTGATTGTGCGCGGTGAGCCCTCCGCTCATAAGCCCGGTTTCCTCCTGGAGCTTACCACAGCCCTGACGGGTGTGGGGGCCAGCATTGTGTCGGGGGCCATCCAGGGGGGGGTAGATGGCCCCCTGCCGGAGAGTGCCGTAGCGGAGCCGTCGTACGACTTCCGACAGGGCCGGTACTTCAAATTCATGTTGCGCGGTCCAGCGGGAGGCCAGATGGTGAGGGGGGGGAAGGGCGGGAAGGGGGGTGGGAGGGGAAAAAAGGGGGGGGCGGGAAGGGGTATTGATGGGGGGGTGGGTGGGGAAAGATGGGTGGGTGGGTTTCAGCTCGAAGAAAGCCGTCCCTCCATTCTCTCCATGCCTGATCGCAGCGCCACCCCCCTGGCGGTGGGGTGGTTTCCTCTCCCCCTTCCCCCTCCCCCTTCCCCATCCCCTAGGATAGCTGGGTGGGTCGGGTCAGTCGCGCGTTTTTGAGGGTTTGGGAGGAGCATTTGCACGTCACCAGCAGCTTTTCATGACCAGCCAATAAGCCAGTTTTGGTCAAGCTTCTTCAATTCCGCCGCCAGGGCGGCGAGCAAATTTATTCCAGCTCGCGTCATCGTTTTTTACTCTTTCGCCGCTTTTACACCTACCTTTACAATTGTACGGCTTGGGTCTACTGCTCTTCTTTCCGCTCTTATTTTTGGTGGTCTTGGCGGCTAGGTAGGTAGTTTTCCGCTGTCGTTATGATTACTAACATCATCGCGAGGACTTCTCCTTCACAACCGCCGACTGGTTAGTTATGCCTTCTTTACATCTGCCGTCGCAGCAGTCTTTCCTTGGCAACAGCTTGACTCGCTCGTGATTCGCCTTTCCCCCCATTTCCTCCTAGGCAGGTCGTCTCCTTCAAAACCGCCTACTGGTCAGTTCTGCTTCTTGTACTCTCTTTCCTTGGCACCAGCTTCACTCGTTCACGTGGTTCGTCCTCCCCCCCCGTCCCCCATCCCCCCCTGTTTGCCTTTTCCCCCATCTCCCTCTGTCAGGATGCCGACCGCGTGGCGTCTCTGATCTTCGTGTTACGGCTGTTGGAGGGCAAGGGCTCCATGCCCACTGTGGCCCCCAACATGGACGCGTTGCTGCGGGAGGCAGCGTACGGCGTCACACTGCCCTCACCCTGCTCGGCGTGAGGGTGGTCAGGGTGGTGCTGGATGGGGGGGAGGAGGGGGAGGAGGAGGATGGTGGTGGTGGTGGCGGATGACGACGGCGAGCAGCATCCGTCAGTTTGTATGTCTTCCCTTGTCCGTCAGCCTCGTGGCGGCTCATGAGGGGCTGCTTCAGGGACTGGGGGGTTGGAGGGGGGGGGAAAAAAGGGGAGGGGAGGGGAGAAAGAAGGATGGTGGCCTTGCTTTTGAGGAGGATTTAGAGGTGCGTTGCCTAGAGAATTGGGGAGGTGGGGATAGGGAAAGGCGGAGGATGTGGCGCGCGAATGCAACGCTTGACAAAAGAATTGTTTTTTGAGTATCGAATGCGCTTGCAGAGGGGTGGGAGCGGGCGAGTGGCGAACATACACATGCGCGCAATCGTGTGTGTGTTGAAGTACTTGTGCCACCACACGCATCACGACGCATATCACGAGAGACACACATATATACACACACACACATCAGGCCCCTCGAGTTGGTGCCTCACGGCCACTTGCGTTAGTGGGGTGGTGTGTATTTGTATTCGAAGATATTTCATCATATCGAGGGGCGTTGTTACCGAGCAATAGCTAGCTCTGCTTGAAAGGCTTTCATATGAACATGCGCCAATAGGTGCGCATGTCTGTGCGTATGTAGGTTAGGCCTGTGCTTATGTATGTGCGCACCTGCGACGAGACTGTATGCCCGCCGACCAGTCCGCCAAGCAGCCAGCCAACATACGCATCATCGAGATCCCGCTGGCGCCGGTGTCTAGCGTACTGAGTGAATGTATTGGGTGTGTGGGTGTGTAACTGTACGTGTATATTGGGTCTACACGGGTATGGGTGTGTAAAAGAAGTGAGCCGCTCGGAGGCGCGAGGGTCGCAGGGGTCACGGGCGCAACTGTACGTGTATATGTATTGGGTCTACACGTAGTTTCCTTGACCCAATACACACTGCGCAACACCGCTCAGTCGTCCAGCGCCACGCGTGTGTGTGTATACGTGTGAAGGGTACAAAAATCTGACCGAGCCTGACATTGGCCAGGGGCTGCTGCCCAGCCCCAACGGAAAGAGTGTGTGTGTTTGTAATCTGAGCCGCTTTGTGTATGTATGTCTGTGGGCCCTTCCGGGGCGGGCGAATAAGCACGAGGATGGGGAGCGACGTGTGGGCCCTCCAGGGGGGCCGACCAGGTGGCTGGGTTCGGTCTGCCGGCTGAGTCGATCAGCAGTACCCTGACCCGCACCTCGACACACGGCCTCCACCTTCCCCCAATGTGGGGCCTCCCGTCGGACTCCGCGGGAGGGGAGGTTGAGCGGGGGAGAGGTCCTGAACGCGACATCGAGCCGAAATGCAGTACTCAGTGCAGTACAGTTTAAGGAGGGGGAGGGGAGCTGGAGGGGTATAGGGTGGGAAGGGAGTTAAGTGGCTGTCGACATTCAGACGAGTTGCTGCCGGAGAGGAGTGTGCGTATGGTGTGTACATACATACATACATATGTATTTGTGTACATACGTGTACATGTGTGTATGTATGTACGTACACGTGTTTGTACATATTTCTTATCTGAAAATGTAGGTCTGTGTATTCGATTGCAGCGCATCTGTATGTATGTACAACCCTGAGGGTGCATTCCCCTAGGGTTTCCAAAGGGGATGGCGAAGGAGGACCAACGGGCCCCCGTGTAGTTTAATTACATATAATCTATGTACGTATGTCTATAGCCACGTCCTGTGTATTTGGGAGATTTGATGGACCCGTAACTTGGGGAAAAGGATTGGCTCCTGAGGCCTGGAGGCCTTGAGGCCTAGGATGGGGTCTGCAGCTAAAGGAAGCTCCGGACTGTGGTGGTGGTTGGCTTGAAACGGCAGTCCGTCTCCTGCTGCTGCTGCTGCTGCTGCTGCTGCCTCCTATCCCGAGTAAATGGCTGTAGAAGCTTCTCGGCGTTCCCCAGGCAGCGAACCGCCAACTCGGGGAAGCGCGCACGAAATCCGACGGGGCCTCCGGGGACATCAAGGGGAATCCGACTGTTGAATCAAAACAAAGCACTGTGATGATGGTTGCAAAAGGATATGTCCTGCGACACAATGTGATTTCTGCCCAGTGCTCTGGATGTCTAAGTGAAGAAATCCATCCAAACGCAGGAAAAAAAGGAGGAGGAGGGGAAAAGAGGGGATCTGCCCTTCAACGTCTGGGGGCCTCTACCATCATAATAGTGGTTGTACTGCCTTCCATTCAGCCATCACCGGGTTTCCTACCTACCTACCTCCAAAGCACTCACGGACATACATAGCGACAAACGGTTTGATGAAACAGATACCTCCCTCCCGCCCACCATGCGGCTTACAGAGGCCCGCAGAGCATACACCACTGACCCCAGGGTCCCCCTACACCCCTTCTCTGACCCCTCTCATTATTATGCACTGCAGGCAACACCAGCAAGCAGAATCAGAATCAGAAGCCGAAACACCAAACACCACGACCAGCACATTGCACTGCTCCGCCGGGTACTCCGAAAAGACGACTGTGGTACAACCCACCTTGACATGCAACCATAGTTAGCTGTGCTCTGTACGTGTGCCTGTCTGTCTGTCTGTCTGTCTGTATGCAGGTGTATGTGTGTGTTAAAATGTGTAGATGTGGTCCGCTTTTTTAAATTTTATCCTATACAGCGACTAAACGATTTACCCCTACATTGCTAGGTAGGCAGGTAGGTAGGCAGGTAGGTAGGTAGGTAGGTAGGTAGGTAGGTAGGTAGGTAGGCAGGTAGGTAGGTAGGGGGGTAGATGTCTGTCCAGGGTGCACAGTCGTCACCACACCCAACACTGAGCACCTGGGAGGGGTTGGGCCGCAGCAAGGGGGCACCGGAGGGAGCTCATCACCTGAACCGCGCTGAACTGCGCCACAACCGGTCAGCCACCCGGCCACCCACACCAGCCTTACCAGCAACAGGACCCACACCCTGGCGGCCGGAGTTAGAACCAACTCCCCATACCTCGTGCCTCCCTTATGGCCCCCTCTCCATCGAATATGGAACCACTTTGCTTCCCCTCTCCCCACTCCCAGCGGGCCTCTCTCTGACCTACACACCAGCGGCTCTGCAGGCCCCCCGTTCGTTCAGCCTACATAGCCTGCAATGCCCCAGTTCACCCCCCCCGTCCACCAGCACCAGCACCGCCGGCCTGTCGGGTCGGGTGCTGTCAGCTGCTGCTGCTAGCTACAGTCAGCACCACGCGTGGTCCTCTCGAACAGCCCCCACCAGCTCCCGAACTGAGGACGGACTCAGGTCACGAAGACCTAGGCACAAAGTAATGGATCTGCGGGAGGGCGTGTGGAAGGAGGCATATGTCAAAGAGAAAGTCAGAGCGGGGAGCGGGGAAATTGAAGGGAGAAAGAGGGAAAGGCGGCGGGAAAAGGTGAGTGGTAGTCCCAACATAGCAAAGTACATCTCACAGACATTCCATGAGCAACCGCTCCCACTTCCCCCCACCTGTCCACACCTGAGCCCACCCATCCGCCTGGCCCAGTCCCACACCTAAAACAGCGGTGGTGGGGCCCTACTGCGGACATGTGAAATACTCGCAGCCGCGTTCCGGTAAGGTGTCGTGTCTGTCTTATCCTTGGACTTACACACAGCCCTCCTCAGCCCCGTTGGGCCCAGCCCAGCCCTCCCCCGCGGCCCCCAACCCAGACACCTGCTGTGACCGAGCTCCCCCAGCTGCTGCACCAGCTGCCTGGCCGCCAGCTCCAAGGTGGGGTCCTCCCGCTTACCCAACACCACAGATATGCTGAAGGTGGTGCGCCCGTCAAAGGTGGCGTCTTGCCTGAGGGGGGGTAGGGGGTAGGCACTGTGTGTTTGGGGTCCCGTGAAGAACGTGCAAGATGATGTGGGGGTAGGGATCAGGCATTCTGGGACGACGGAGCGGGGTGGGTAAAGAGGTGGACTTCGATGCGGAGAAAGACCATCTTATATCTCTGTGGAGTCTGGTGTGGCGGGCCCCTGTGTGGAAGGTTTGGGGTATGAGGTCACTCTGGTAATTAAGGTTAAGAGCTTTTGAGGGAAACAATGATGAGGTATGAGCCCTGGGGCGCAGCGTGAGGCGTATGCGCCATGACCCACAGGAAGCAGATCGTTCAGATGCTTGATTAGCTGCTTGTTTTCTGGCCACTGCACCGCACCTGGCGGAGATAACCGTCCCAACCGTCCCAATTTGAGTGATGATCAGCAGCAGGTGGTCCAGGTACAAGTTCCAGACGAAATTTGTGGTTACTCCGTTGATTAAGCGTGCAAAGATGCGGTTGCGAACAGGGAAAGCAACCTGTGTCCCTGCAAGCTCTTCCATCAGAGCCGAAAGCGAACGGCAAGCTTTTTCCCGGCAATTAACGTGACCGATATATTCTTTATGGCGAACTGTTGGAAAGTGCTCTTAGGTACACTCAGGCTTGACACTTCGGTAGTTTGATTAGTTGCCGTTATCCTAATACGACATCGGATCAGGATTGGCTACGGTATGCTTATATACTGCTTGCGTATCCATTCTCTCTCTCTCCTTGTGTAACGATATGAGCGAGTGATGTGTTCACTGAAGGACTCTTATCTCTAACAGGTTATGAGCCCCGCGCTTTAGCGTGCGGTCATCCGTTTGCCCGGTGGTGCCTTTTTCTGCTGTGTGCGGACTTAGCTGTAGGCAAGGATGAAAATAGATAAGGAGGATTTTTATTTCTCCATTAGCACCTTTCACCTCTTGAAGGAGCACGTCATCGGCGTCCTTCAACGTAAAGGACTAGCGAACGCGATCAGCCCCGTGCAGGCTACGCGGGATGTAGTGACAGACGAGCAAGACCAGCGAGCTTTGGGCGTTATCAAGGAATTCATCCGCGTCCTGGAGAAGCCCCTGTACGCGCGTCACGCGAAGGCGTACGACCTGTGGCTTGCTTTGGCGGCTAAGTATGGGCAGCAGACTCGAGCTGCGAAGAGCTTATTGGTTCAACGGTTGACCCAATTCAAGATGGAATCGAGCGAGACGATCAGCGATTACATCGCGAGGTTCCAAGCGCTTCGACTAGAGTTCGCAGCCATCGATATTAGTTTGGCGGATGACGAGGCGGTGGACCACGTCTTGAGGGGCCTACCTGATACGTATGCCATGATCCGCACAGTTATAGAAAATACTACCGACGTTGGACGAGTCCAAGAAGTTGAGATGCGGATAATCTCGAAGAGCAGAAGATTGATTCGGAGACCAAGAAGTCGCCCGTGAAGGGAGCCTACAACGTCGCGCGGGCAGGCGCCCCACAGAAGGAAGGACAACAGGAAGTGCTTCTACTGCAAGGAGCAGGGCCATTTAGTTGCCAAGTGTCCGAAGCTTAGACAGCCATATCCGCCACCACCACCGCCGCCGCCGCCGCCTCCCCCCTCCACCACCTCCCCAGCCTTTCATGCGCCAACGACAACAACAACCGCAAGTGCAGCCGCAGGCCCAGGGCGTGCGGCGGCGACTAGTTGGCGTCATAAACACGCTTGGGGGAATGAGACTGGCACCCGGTGAATGGCTTCTCGACATTGGAGCCGAGGATCACCTGACCTTCACGCCTGAGGACGTGGAGGGTCTGAAGCCGGTGCGCGAGGGCGAGGGTGTCGTTTTTGAGGTGGCGGATGGGCGGACGGTTAGCTCGATTGGTGAGGGCAGGGCGGTTTTCGCCTCTTTTCGAGGGCAGACGGAATTGTCGGTACCTGTACACGTAGTTCCGGACCTGCAACACCGCCTGTTCTCAGTCAAGGCCCTGAAGAGATCCTTCCCGGATCAGGTGGTAGAGGTTGTCCTGTCCGCCGATTGCTCGTATATAGCAATAGACGGAATTCCCGCTGTCGATGTGTTCGAGGAGAACGGGATGTACATCGTGCTTGCGCAGCCAGATGCCGAGTGGAATAGGGCATTATCACTGCATCGCTTTCCCAAGGAAAAGTTAGACACCTTGCATCGTCGCATGGGGCATGCTAGCCTCACCCGTTTTGATAGGCCGTTTTTTGACGACCTGGTCCATTCGGAGCCCATATGCCGCGAGGAAAGCCTTCGTCCGGAGAGCAAGGTCTGCGAGCCGTGCGTTATGGGAAAAATGACCCGCAGCCCCCATCATTCATCGACGCACAAGGGCGAACGCGTGCTCGATCTCGTCCATATGATCTTTGCGGCCCGATGCCGGTCACGTCGCTGGGTGGAGCCAACTACTTCGCTACCTTCTACGACGATTTTAGCAAATACTCCGAGGTTCGTTGCGTTCGCGCAAAGAGCGAAGTCCCCGCTGCTGTTCGTGAGGTTTTGACTAAGTGGGAACGGCAGACTGGTCTAGAAGTTCGTTGCGTCCGAACTGATTGCGGCACGGAGTACGTCAACGATCGCCTTGCCTCCTTCTTTTCTGAGAGGGGTATTGTGCATGAGAAGTCGGCCCCGTATACACCAGAGCAAAACGGAGCAGCGGAGCGCCTGAACAGGACTTTGCTGGAGCGTGTGCGGGCCATGCAATATGATTCGGGCGTACCTCCGGAGCTGTGGGGAGAGGCAATAATGACGGCCAACACCTTGCGCAACGTGTGTCCTACGAAGGGGACTGTACAGACGCCGTGGGAGCTGTTTACTGGAAAGCCCCCGGACGTTTCTAAGCTACGGGTATTCGGGTGCGTGGCTTATGTACAGGTTCCGAAGGCGCTTAGAAATAAACTTGACCCGGTCTGCGTCAAGGGTATCCTAGTTGGGTATGAACCTAAATTTAGTGCGTGGCGCGTATGGATCCCAGCAGAAGGGCGGATTCGTGTTAGTGTAGATGTGGTTTTCGATGAGGGAATCATGTATAGTGTCGCGTATTTGCTCGATTCGATAGAGGAGTCGCTCTCTTCCGGTACTGATGATGAGGGCCCCAGGAGGGCGCCCTTGGTCGAGATCGAGATGAATCCTGTAGGCGGGCCGGCTGGCGACGAGGGGTCGGATGACGAGCCGGGGCCGTTGATTGATGACGATGAGGCGTCGGATTGGTCCGAGTCTGATAGTGATGATGACGGTGAAGTGGATGAGGAGGCCAGTGATGGATTGGTTAACGCAGGGCCGTCCGACGCAGGGCCGTCAAATCTAGGACCGTCCAATACGAATAATAATTTGCCGTTAGCTCTTGGTAGGGAAAAGCGTTTCAATGCCGGAGTTCCACCCAAACGTTTTGCTTTCCGCGTAGAGATGGAGGAAGAGTCGGATGATGATGTCGATATTCCGGAATCTTACGAGGAAGCAATGGCATCTCCCTATGCTGAATTTTGGCGTGCTGCAATGCTTGAAGAGCTTGAGTCTTTGCGTGCGAAGGGTACTTGGTCCTTAGTGCCGAAGCCCAAGGACAACAGGTCTCTTGACGTTAAGTGGGTATTCTCGCTGAAGCGTGACAAGCATGGTGCCATAGAACGGTTCAAGGCACGCCTAGTAGTGAAGGGTTTCATGCAACGCGAGGGTGTGGATTTTCAGGAGGTTTTTGCGCCGGTGAGTCGTCACACTACCTTGCGCACCTTTTTGTCCATGGTAGCTGGCGCAGACATGGAATTGCACCAATTAGATGTGAAAACTGCGTTCTTGAATGGCGATTTAGAAGAAGAGATTTATGTTAAACAACCCCCCGGTTTTGAAGAGGGAGGCCCGGGGATAGTTTGTCTTCTTCATAAGGCCTTGTATGGCCTTCGTCAAGCGTCGCGTGCATGGTATGACACGTTATGTGAAGAATTAGTGTCGATGGGCTTTGTCGCGTCGAGTGCGGACCCTAGTTTATTTGTTCGCCGTAAACAAGGCGAGGTTGTATATCTTTTGGTTTATGTAGACGACGTTTTGATTGCGTCTTGGAGCGAGAGAGCCGTTTCAGAAGTGAAGGCGGCTATCATGCGGCGGTTTGAGTGCCGCGATTTAGGAGAGGTAAGTTTATTTTTGGGTCTTACCCTTAAGCGCGATCGAGCGAACAGGGTAATTACCGTTTCTCAGGGGCGTATGGTTAAGGACATTGTGGGTCTTTATGGCATGGCTAATGCACGGCCGAAGTCTGTACCTATGAGTCCTGGAACCGTCTTACCTAATGCTGCAGTGGAAGATCGGCTGGATCGAGAGCGTTTCCCGTATAGCCAGTTAATTGGCAGTTTGTTGTACGTGTCTGGATGTACTCGTCCCGACATTGCACAAGCCGTGGGAGTTTTGGCGCGTCACATGTCGAATCCTAGCAGGTCGGACTGGAAAGCGGCGAAGGAGGTAGTACGCTATTTGGCAGGAACGTCCGATTACGGATTAGTCCTAGGTGGTGAACGAGCAGATGAGAGGTTGGTCGGATATAGCGATGCTGACTATGCGGGTTGTGCTGACTCGCGGCGGTCAACGTCTGGTTACGTCTTTACTCTTCATGGTGGTACAGTTAGTTGGGCTAGCAAACTTCAGCGGAGCGTGGCTGCGTCCACTATGGAGGCTGAGTATATGGCTGTTTCGGAAGCTGCTAAGGAGGCTTTATGGTTGCGACAACTACTTGGCGATCTGGGCTACGACCTCAAGCCAACGCAGATCAATTGCGATAGTCAGAGCGCAATTCGGTTGGCGAGCAATCCGGTTGTTTCGAAGCAATCGAAGCACATCTCTGTGCGTTATCATTTTGTGCGGGAGCAGGTAGCACTCGGTACGCTTGTGATGGTAGATTGCAGGTCGGAAGATATGGTAGCTGATTGCTTAACGAAGCCTTTACCAACTGAGAAGTTTGAGAAGCATTGTATAGCGATGAACGTGTGCAAGTCCTGAGCGCGTGGGAGTGTTGGAAAGTGCTCTTAGGTACACTCAGGCTTGACACTTCGGTAGTTTGATTAGTTGCCGTTATCCTAATACGACATCGGATCAGGATTGGCTACGGTATGCTTATATACTGCTTGCGTATCCATTCTCTCTCTCTCCTTGTGTAACGATATGAGCGAGTGATGTGTTCACTGAAGGACTCTTATCTCTAACACGAACTAATGACGTATCACACTGGCATCATGTTCAGCTTTGGATAAGACTCTCCACAACATCAATGCCATTACGATACCGATCCGGATTTTCATGTAACATCTAAATATCGCCAGAGACCAAATCTCATGCCGACGGATTTATATGAATTTGTTTGTAAGGCTTCCAACTACCATGTAAGCAGGACATTGGCTGATCGTACCCAACAGTGTACGGATAACTGTTGACACTGAATACGGATACAGAATACCACCAGGGAGACGTCGTCCCCCCGCACACAATCTCCTGGCCATGTACCAGTAAGGGTTCCGAGAAACAGCTAACATCAATCGAAATGCCCTATCCAAACGCAAACAAGCACACCACTGTCAGCCTTAGCAACTTCACCCATGTCCCTAATACTCGTAATCGCTCTGAATCCAGTTCCACAGGTCCTCCTGACTTGCATCCCCCGTGCCGCCGTGTGCCCACTCCCGCACGTCCCCATCATCTTCCCAACCCGCACTGCCGTCCGCCACCATCCCTTGCTGGGGGCCCGCACCCCCGGACTCTACGGGGAAATCGGGTGCCTCCTGCCCGTCCTGGAGCCCGTCCTGGAGCCCCTCTTGCGGCTGCATCAACACCTCCCATGCCTCCGCCTCATCACCCCCCGTCAGAGCCCGCGCAGCCGCCGCCCTCAGCATCGTCAACAGCCCACCTCCTCTTGAGCCCGAGCCGGAGCCGGAGCTCAGGCTGAGGCTTGACTCGGAGTCGCTGCCACCTGACACCGGGGAAGGCGTCCCCGTCTGTTGAGTACTGGATAGCGGCTGCTGCTGCTGCTGCTGCTGCCGGGACGGCTGTTGTAGATTCTGTAGATCCTGTTGGTGTTGCTGCTGCCGGTCGGCACCCTGCACCCGGTTCTCGGGGTCTCCGATCCAGCCAGCCGCGGAGGCAGCGGAGTAAGCCTGTTCGGGTGTGAAGCCTGCTGCCCGGAGCAGCGCTGCCGCAGGCGGCCGAATCGCCGCAAGGCCGTCGCCGCCAGCACCGGCCAAGCCAGCAGCCCCTGCGCTGCCAGCACCACCCGACGATACCGCCGCCGTCGGGGGGGCTGCTTCCGCCGGAGTTGCAGTCGTCTTACCTGGAGTCGACGTTCGCCACCAAGCTTCTATGCCGGGGCCGCCGCCGCGGCCGCCGGCGGCAGCGGCGGCCCCAGGCGCTACCGCCGCCGGCAGCCCCAGGTCCCGGCCGGCCGCGTCCATACCCCGTGCCGTACTGCCGCCACTACCACCCCTGCCGCCGCCGCCACTGCCGCTGACCTGCCAGATGCTTCCCGCGGTCGAGCCCCCTGCACGGCTGCGCGAGGCCGCCGTGTCCATCTGCCGCCAGAGGTCCTCCTCCAGTCCCGCCATTGCCGCACCCGCCGCCGCCGACCCACGGGCCACTCGGCGGCCCTCTGCGTCCCGCTCCGGCTGGCCCAGCAGTGCCTCCGGCGAATCACCACGCATGTTGAAGGTGCCGCCGAGAGTGCCCTGCGCGTATTGGTCGCTGCCGCTGCCGCCACCACGACCACCGCTGCCGCCGGCAGCAGGCGGCGGCTGCGCCGCCGCCGCCGCCACCGTCTGTCGGAGGCGGCGGCCCAGGAGGTTCTCCGTCAGCAGCTCCATCATGGTGCTGTTGTTGCGCCAGGCGGCTAGTTGGGAGGCCCTGGAAAGCACGTCGGCGAGGGTCGAACTGCCGCCGCCGCCGCCGCCGCCGCTGGCGCTGTCCCTCGTGCCTGCTCCGAGTCCAGCCACAGGGCCCGTCGTATTCGGTCGCATTGGCTGTCGACTTTCGGCATCCCAGACTTCCACGGGTGCGTCACGCCCTCCCCCCCCACCCTCTGATCCGTGACCGCCAGTGGAGAGGGGGTGCTGGGGGGCACCACCGCCTCGAGGCCCAGCGGGAGCCCCGGTGTGTGGAGTGGTGGCAACCCTTGCCTGCGTACCACCGCCACCACCTCCACCACCACCACCTCCGCCACCACCACCTCCGCCACCACCACCTCCGCCATCACCACCTCCGCCACCACCACCGCCGCCACCACCACCGCCGCCACTACCTCCGCCACCACCGCCTCCCTTACCACCGCCACCGTCTCCCTTTTTCCTGTCCTTCCCCTTCCCCTTCCCCCCCTTCTCTCCCTCCCCTCCTCCCTCCTTCTCCGCCCGAGTCCTATTCAGCAGCTTCTGCCAGCCGGGTGGGGCCTCGGGGGCAATCAGCGCCTGGGCTACACGACTTAGCTCGAAGGACAGAAACTGAACCAAGTAGGCGTACCACCTAATGGGATGAGGGGGCGGATGAGGGGGCGGATGGGGGGGCGGATGCGGGGGCGGATGAGGGGGCGGATGAGGGGGCTGATGAGGGGGCTGATGAGGGGGCTGATGAGGGGCCTGATGAGGGGGCGGATGAGGGGGGGCG